TTTCGTAAGATGAAGCATTCGTAAGTAGAGGTACCACTGTATATAGAAAAGGTCTCTTCTGGTCTGTTCTACCTCAGATAATAAAACATTGTCCATCCTTTCCCGTTACATTACCTATCTTTTTTCAGATAACTAAACATTGCATATCTGGTCCATTCTACCTCAAGAAACTAAACATTACATGTCCTTTTTTTAAAAGAAGAGTTTTGATTTTGGAATACAGATACTGAAAATGCTAGGGTAGCAGTGGAAGTGGCAATAAGCCCGGGCCACCAGGCGGGCATTCCTCTGGCCCTTCATCTCTGGGTGGGAGGGAGATGGCATGGTCAAATTCACAGCCAAATTTTGCACAAACAGTGGCCATGCTGGCTGTTACTCCATTGCCACACCAGCCAAAATGGGGTTTAGAGTGGGATGCGGCAGCAGTGGTTGCTGGCAACTATCTCTAGCCATGACCCAGAGAATAACCCCCACCAATAAAACAGGCTACCCTCTCATCTCTTCTGCAGCCCTGTCATGTCAGCACTCAAAAACCTAGGGGTTTTGGAGCATTTGGGATTTCGGATGTTTGGATAAGGGATACTCAACCTGTATTTGCAAATGGGGAAAAAAGAGATTAACTTGCACATGCACACTACATTTTTAATTTAGTATGCAATTTAACTCTTAGGCAGCCTAGATGAAAAGGTTTCCACTTGAGACTGAAGGATTGCTGCTACTAATACACAATATCAAGGTGCATGGACCAAGGCTAACCCAAAATAAGGTAAATTTATAAAAATATTTGATATTTTAGGAAATATGGAACATATATTCATTCATTCAGTCAATGGCATGAGTTTTTTGGGAAAAAACAGAACTAGAACATTTTCCAATGCTCTAAGTAGTGTTATCTGATTTAGTTCATTTGGCTTACATATTACATTCAAATACATTGAAAGCTTTCGCTGGGAACTGTTTTATTGGTACATTTGTAATAGCATATATAGGCGTCCCTCGTGGTTCGCAGACTTCCCATTTGTGTCCCTCAGTCTTTCGCAGATGGGAAGCCACAAGGGACAAAATGTTGCACACACAATGGCGCATTCTGGTATGTGCCACCATTATACTCAATCGGTCTCCAATATTTGTGTTATTTCCTGGTGGGAGGGGGTCCAGAACGGATCCCCCACAAACAGGGAGAGACGACTGTATTTCCCTTATATTTGAATACACACATACGTGAAGAGAGCTGTACTTCATATGTCGCTGTTATTGTGGTGTGTGCTTTCAAGTCATTTCCAACTTATGGCAACTCTAAGGTAGACCTATCAAGGGGTTTTCTTGACAAGTTTCTTCAGAGAGTTTGCCATTGCCATCCTCTGAGGCTGAGAGTGTGTGACTTATCCAAGGTCACTCAGTGAGTTTCCACGGCTGAGCTGGGATTTGAACCCTGGTCTCTGGAATAATAGTCCCAACGTTCAAACCACTACACCATGCTGGCTCACTTGTACCTCATACATCTTATATCAGGGGTAGGCAACCTTTCCCCTTTAAGGGCCGAGGGACTTCAACTCCCAGAAGCCTCAGCCATGTTGGCCAATAGTCCCATGTTGGCCAATAGCTCCTGGGATTCTGGGAGCTGAAGTCCCTCGGCCCTTAAAGGGGAAAGGTTGCCTACCCCTGTCTTATATCAACAGTTTAAGTTCCTTTCACTGAAGCATGATTGTAGTACCTTCAGCTTCACTCAGCCACTCTCTGCACTACTTACCAATTTCATTTCAAGTTGAGGAAAAAATGATTTTGCACAACTAGTTGGAACATTTTACTTCATGTAAGATCATATGTGAGTGCAGGCACATGCCACTTACCACACTGTCTTGACTACTTGTACTTGTAACTGAGTGGAAAGCAAGAAATATTGTGAAATAAAAAGCAAGTTTAGCAGTGTGTTATGCATCTCCTTAGAAGAATAACTACTAGTTCCTAGTAGAATAACTACTAATTCACAGCCTACATTTAGCCCATCCAACACGACTGATTGCAACACACCCCAGAAAACTATAGACACACTCCCCCACACACATTATGTTCCGCTCCCACTCAGTCTGGGTACCAATATCTGCCACTTGCTTTGAGATTATTATCCTACTTATTCTTTACTCCAGAGATTCTTCCGCAAATATTTTATCCGAGATCCTTCATTCAGGCTGCATTCCAATATAGTATAAACACTTACATGGAAGCAAATCTTACTAAACTCAATGGGATTTCCCTCTGAACTGACATGCATAGGATTCCACTGTTACTGTATCTTTATGTTAATAAAACAACTCAAGTTAAAAACAGAGACACAGACAGAGAGGGAAAACATGTATACATGATGCTGTTTGTCCTGTTTGTTTCTTGTGCTCAGAAACCCGAGATAAAAGGAAGTGAGACCACATTGGCATAATGAAAATCCATTTTAAAAGTAACACAGCAAGGACGAACATCATCATGGGAATAAATAATTAATAATTTTATTCTTATATCCTGCCTTCTGCCTAAGCAATCAAGGTGGCTTACAAATATGAAATACAAAATTAAAAAACATACCTTAGAATAATAACAGTAATACAATTACCCCCCCCCTTAAAAGAATAAATACAGTATTAAAATAAACGTATAGGATTAAGACAACACAGATTCTGGAACATCAACAAGTACGTGTAGCGGAAGATGTATAGCAGGGGAGGAGCACTGATTCAGGTGGAACGATCTATTCTGGGAAGGCCTGCCGGAAGAAATCCGTCTTGATTTAAAGCTGTCCAAGTTGGTTATTTGACGGATCTCTTCCGGCAAGGCATTCCACAATCTGGGAGCAGCGGCAGAGAACGTCTTCTGGGAGGTTACTGCTAATCTAGTTTTTATCGGTTGCAGTAGATTCCTCTCAAAGGACCTGAGGGTGTGGGGTGGATTGTATGGAAGGAGGCGATCCCTTAGATAAGTTTGACCCAGGTCACGTAAGGCTTTAAAGGTCATCACCAACACCTTATACTGTGTTCGGAAACCAATAGGCAGCCAGTGAAGGGATTTCAGGATAGGTGTAATGTGATCACTTTTAGATTCCCCGATGATCAGCCTGGCTGCCATGTTTTGCACTAATTGTAGTTTCCAGACTAGGTATAAGGGTAGCCCCATGTAGAGTGCATTGCAGAAATCGAGTCATAAGGTTACCACTGCATGCACTACAGTTTCTAGGTCCCTTACTTCCAGGAAGGGGTGCAGCTGGCGTATCAGCCGGAGCTGATAACAGGTGCTCTTGACTGTCGCGTTTACCTGATCTATCATGTGAAGCGACGAGTCAAGGAGCACCCCCAAACTGCGAACACAGTCCTTAGCGAGGAGCGTGACCCCATTCAGGACTGGAGATTGTATCCCAATACCTGGTTTGGGGGTCCCTACTGTAAGTACCTCCGTTTTGTCTGGATTCAGTTTGAGTTGGTTTTTCCTCATCCAGACCATTGCCGCCTCAAGACACTGAATGAGGGGAGAATTGCTATCAGCCGTCATGGCTGCTGACCGAGACATGGAGAAATATATCTGGGTGATAAAACCCCGTCCCATGTCTACGGATGATCTCTCCCAGCGGCTTCATATTAAATAGCATCGGGGACAGGATGGCACCCTCAGGGACACCACATTTAAGCTCTGTTTTTGAAGAGCAAATGTCCCCAAGCATCACTCTCTGGGATCTGCCTGAGAGGAAGGAACGAAACCACTGGATCACAATGCCTCCAATTCCTAACTCTCCCAGGCGTTCCAGAAGGATGAAAGGACGAAGGATGAAAAGGTTATGTCACATTTTCTAGTTACATTTTAAAAGCATTTTGAGAAGAATTTTTTCAGGTTTTATGTCATCCTCTTATAAATGCTTTCTAAAGAATTAAAAAGTAACAAAACCAATGAATAATCTAATGAACAGAATTTAGCAGGGCATGAGGAATAACAAAAACTACATTTTCCCCCCACACATGAAATGTGCTAATTTTAAAAAGTAACTTTCCAGGCACTGACCATGGCTTTGTGCTGATTGAAATTGTTTGTTATAGGCACCAGAATATATATTATTTAAAATGTGTATGCTTTGAATATTAAGTGAATCAAAATAGGCACGGTATGTACATAATGAAAATTTACCAGGTTTGGTCTCCCCCCCCCCCAATGGCACGCTTTCGGGGGGCAACCAATGCTAATAAATGCAGCTGTACTCTCCAACAAACATTTTAAAAGAGAAGGAAGAAGCTACAGATTTTATTCTTTTTACTTTATAGTCTTGCACTGATTTCCAAATCAAAGTTGCCATTTTCCAGTACAAATAACTTTTCCCCTCTAAGAGTTCAACAGACTCACTGAGCTCTGACAGCCAATATGATGGTTTTCTTCCCCCATTTCACGCATCATCACGGACAATAAAACTCTGGAGGCCAAATTACCTTATATCTGTGCAATCTCTTCTTACCTCATGCATGCCCACAAAAAATATGAAGTGTGGTTATCTGGGTGTTATTAAGGGGGGGGGGCCTGAAAGCAAAGTTATGCTAGTGTCTATGGAGACTATACAAGACTATTACTTGAGATGAGTGAGCTATAAAGAATTCAGCTTTATCTTACAAAACCAGAGTCAGTGTTTATGTAGCTAGAAATTATAGATGAGGGCTTGTACGCATATACCTCAAGACAAAGTATGGAAGTTCAGAACTGTGGTTGCACAGGTACATCCATTGAATGTAAAATCTGCTTACGCATTTGGAATAACCACACATTGCAGCTGGTGAGAATACACCATTTTGGATGAAGCTGAGGGACTTACGGAGCCCATGCACACACACGGTTCAGAAAAGCTCCCTGCAAAGTTACCACTAAAGAGAAAAACACGGGGGTTAATCAGATGGTGAAAATAATCCCAGCAGAATGTGGGTTGTATCTTTGTTGCTCGCATGCATTTCAAATGCACCCAAGTAAATTGGGGGGGGGGGGGCTGCCAAAAACCCCACTTAACTCGGGATAATCGATCTCCAGTTTTAGCCCTGAGTTTTCCTAAAAGATTCGCATTGTCAGCCGTATGGATAACCGATGCAAACAGACCCAGGATAAAACTCTGCATGCCTTGAACGTGTTTCAAATTCATCTGCATCCATCTTTATACGCAGTGCTGACATGTGTGAGCAAACTCGTAAAGATGTGGTTCTGATTAAAAAAAAAACCAAAATGTGTGAGATTATTTGCATAGTCACGCCAATAAAAACAACGTCTGAATAACCCCCTAGTCCTGTCCTTCCTTGATGTGCTAACTTTCTAAAGCAGAGACTATCATATGTGAAGAACAACCTGCAGCCTGAAGTGGTCCACTCCATCAGAGGCAATACCACACGGGGCATAAATACCCTAAACTGGCACCAGGTCCTGTTTGATCTAGGAAGCTAAGCAAGGTCAGCCCTGGTCAGTACTTGGATAGGAGACTACCAGTGATTACCAAGTGCTGTAAGCTGTATTTCAGAGGAAGGTACTGGCAAACTCATCTCTGAGTATTCCTTGCCTCTAAAAACCCTATGAAATTCATGGGATTGCCATAAGCCAACAGGTGACTTCATATCCAAACATTCATATTCATATCCACATTCATATCCAAACACACACATATTCCGAATATATACAGGAATTGTTAGATTTTTTTTAAATCTTGAAGATACGTCTTTGAAAGTGCAACTGATCCCGTTCAATCATGCTTCTAATTAAGTATGCTTAGCATTACATAATACAAAGTAACAATATTAAGAAAAATTGTGAGCCAGCAGGGCATAGTGGTTGAGATGTGCTGGATTCCAAGGAAATATCTTCTTTGGATTGCAAATGGACATCAAATTTCCTTGGCTTGCAAAATTTTACAGTGACCACATAGACAAAGAGGGAAGTGCCAGCCCTCCGAAACAGAAAATGCAGGCCTAAGACTAACATCTTCAATTTTTTTCCTCCGGTTTGCCTGATGAAGAAGCCAGTGTGACTTCGAAAGCTTGCAACTTGTAATTGTGCATTTTGGTTGGCCCCATAAAGGTATCATTGTTTGGACGTTATTGGATTTGCTCTATGGCCAACATTGCTACCTCTAGATGTTTTGTGGAGACCAGACTTCTATTCTCAGCTCAGCCATGAAACCCAATGGGTGACCTTCACGAGTCACATGCTCTCAGCCTCAAAGGAAGTCAGTAGCAAGACGCCTCTGGCTAAATCTCACCAAGGAAAAACCCCACAATAGGTTTGCCTTAGGTTCGCCATAGCTTGGAAATGATTGGAAGGCACTCCACAACAGCAAAATAAAGAAAAATTATTCCTTATTCATATAAAATTATTCTAAGGCTGTACTGAGGAGTGAAAAAGGTGATGCCTAGAATAAAATTAAGCACAACGGAAATAAAAGCGAGTAGTTGAAGTCAATTCTATTCCTCTCTCAGGGTGAGGGAC